ACGCAAACCACTCATTTATTTTAATAAAATGGACAAACAATTATTAAATCATATAAATTGTGGGAGGGGCTGACTTAGTTGTCTATTCTGGTTGAGATGTGTTTTATCCCTAACCTTCCTGAGACACGTACAAAGAGACAAACATTAAAAGCGGGAGAATTTTAGACCTTCCATCGCTGCGAATGTGTTCAATAAAATTAGTAAGTCTACGTCCTCGTTAATAGTAGAACGCCTTGAACTGTGTCGTACAAATTCTTTCTGATTTTGTTAATAAAATCGTGCATTCCTTTTTCAAGTTATGCGAATAGAAACGAAGGTTATTCATAATTATTTACTCATCAATAATAATAATAAATCAAAACTCACAAAATCAAATGTAATGTAATCAAAATTTCGAAGAGTTTTTTTTGTCTAGCACCAAGGTTATTTTTAAGTGTCAAACCTATATTTACACTGTAGTGTACTAGGTACTTCCAAGTAGTCTGTATGATTGTTGAAACTTTGAGTTAAAAAATATTTAAGTAGGTACCAACTTTTTGGAGGGAACACGAGAAGCAAAGTTGTGAGAATTGTTTTATTTTGGTAATTTTATAATTCTTCAGGTTTAAACATGTTATAATGGTGGTTTATAAACAGTTTGGCATCAGTGAAAGTGCACAAATGTGGGATAATGAAACAAAGCTGGCTTCTTGGGTTCGTCCACAAAGTCCCCTGAACTCAATAAATAATGACAATTTTAAGGAAAATTTAATTCATACTATCTCCATCTCGTTTCATTTAATTGATTATAGACTCAAATTAATAAACCTCATCTCATTTTTCATATAAAAGAATAGGTATGTATTTAATAACTGAAGATTTTTATAAACTCGATACTGGCAACAATGGTGTAAGGTAATAGCTAATTGCCATACTTAAAAAAGGAAGAAGAATTTATGTACTATACTCATAGTTTCTTTTTAATTTCCTCCTGTCAACTTTTCTCGTTTGAAAATTCAGATCTTAAGAACAAAATACTAACTTTGATCTCGCGTGTCAAGGTAAAAGGTTTGATCAGCCCATGGGTATCAACAACTTAAACATCGCTATTCACCTTGGGACATGAGTTGTAAGTCTCTGTTTTATAGTACAACGGCTGCCCAACCCTTTAATCTAAAACGCAATACTGTTTCACGGCAGATTATAGGTAGGGTGCCTACCCGTACCGATTCACAAGAGGCCTTAACACCAGTAAAAATTATCGTCCTATTATTTTTACTTAATAAAACATATTAAGATTAAATGTTGTTAGTATAATATAGTAGCCTCGTTGCAGCCTTGTTCGGCTGATGACGTCAGCAGTGACTCACTACAAATTGACATAAGTTGAATTTTGCCGAAGAGCCACAAGTATATTGCGAAAACTTTAAGAGGAAAATCGGGCACAGATAAAATTTATAAAAGAAAGTATTTTATGCATTTTATTCGTGTATGTTTCAAGCAGGGCGTGAAATGGATGCTAGCATCTCGGATTTAAATATCTATGTAAATTAAATCTACATTTCGTGGCGTCTCATATCATAATATATTCTCAAGACATTTTTCAAAATCAAATTTCCGAAAATTTGGTTGTATGTATCTGTATTTCCTGCTATTTTTTTTTTAGTACGGAAAGTCAAATTGTAAAAAATAACAAATGTTAGCGGTAGGGATAGATCGTTTGGCCTAAAATCATTTGCTCTACGGCCAACATACAGAGAGAAAACAATGAACTAAGTGCAATGGGCCTTTCTTCTTAATTGAGAAATGTTAAAAATAAAGAATTTTATCCTAAAAAAAAAGACTTCTAAAACATTCAGCCATATAAAATACGAGCAGCATCTTAATGTTATTCATGGTCCTGTTATCTAAAATCATTTTATAATTATTCTCGCGGCATCAGATAAGTGATTCTCCAGCAATCGTTGTGAGCTGTGACTCTGCGGTTTCATTCATATTTATCAGATGGAGTCTGTCTGATCAGCTTAAACGATAATCTTTGGTAGCCGATTCCTAAACTTATAACAAAGTCTTATAAAAAAACAACAAAGCCATAAATTGTTCCTTTTATTAGGTCGAGCTCAATAGGAACTTCATTTACTTCTAACCCGGAAGCTTGTGTTTGTGCCAATGTATAATAATAATTAAAACCACTTTTACGACTACGATTATTTATTAACTGTTTAGAATTCGGGAAAGTGCACGTGTGGCCTGTTGGATTCTTCCAAAAAGTTCACATCTCAAATTCTTACATTTAGTTTTATTGATTATAATTAATTAACTGTATCTCATTTCTACCTCATGTCATTTTTCAAATAAGCCTAATTAGAATATTGTAATTTTTTGCCTATTCCGTAGGTATGTAGAAATTATATTAAAGCTAGGCTATAAAGTATTTGCCGTTAATAAAAATTATACAAGGTAAACACATTGAGAAGAAAAAGAAAATTAAAAAAAGACTGCGACGACATTGTTAATGAGGATGTTATGATGAATCTGGAACATGGGTAATCTTTCGAGACTAGAATACTTGTACAAATTGCATAACATTAAACTATGTTCTAAAAATTATATAAAAATAAATTTACAGTTTCAAATGATTCAAAAGCTTGATATTTGTATGCGAATAAGAAAAGAGAAATAATAAAGAAGAAGTTTGTTCTCTCTGAGCACACTCAGTGTTTGCAAATTCTAAATTTTTCAATAAACAAATAAAATTAAGTACCAGATAATATAATAGACATTTATTTTAGCTCCAAGTGAAACACGGCATTACCGACATTCAAGGAATAGTCTGAGACAACTGCGATCTTTTATCTTAATGGTTTTTTTTTATAAGATCAACTTTGAGTGGGTGTTAAAAATAATCTAAATTGTTTTCGCTATGCAATACAGCAACGCACAATCTTTTCATTGTTTGAACATAATTTATAGAGCAGTAAAATGCTGCGTCGAACTAAACTGTTTCTTTTTTAATATAGGGTTTGGTTTATTTTCAAAAATGTCTTAGTTTATACGCTTTTTTTTCAAAACTGCACATCTCTAAATAATAAGATATTCTAAGTGTCTAACTAGCTGCTGCGTGAATGACGCTGACGGACAAACCAACAAGCACTAGAAGTATTCATTAAATTTAAAAGTAACAAAACATACAAGATGTATCATAGCTGGTCTCTTCTCCGTTTTTGGCATTGCCAATGTACACGTGCGACTAGCGATGGATGACAAAAAAAAAAAAAACTATTATTGGCGGGAAGAAAATCGAGAAATAAATACCGTAAAATGGGGCGATTAGGGACAAATTCCAACTTTATGAGCAATTTTAAGGTAGTTGTTGATGTTTAGAATGCTATATCAGGATCAAAATGATTGAGTCTTGGGGGCATCTTTGTTGTCTAATTTAAAATTATGCAACTAGCATTCCAGTTTAAGCAAAAAATGCAAAAATAGGTGTAATCCCTATTTACCCGAAAATTGCGGTTAATTGGGACGAAATGAGAAATTTGCTAGGGTTGGCACTACTTTTATTTTTATATATAGTTTTAATTTATTTATTTATTTAGTTGCACCAACAAAGTGATCATCAATAAAAAAAATTGAAAAACTGACAAAAGTACATGGCAGACATCACCTCAATTATAGGTGCAATCGACAGTGCTGATATTTCTATCTGGGTTAAGAGATTAGGTGTGTCGGTTATTCCATGGATTAATCAGATGAATACCCCCACTCTGAACAAATATTAAATATTTTATTATGTATTACTTAGACATTTTTGTCCACCTTGAGATTTCATTGATCTTGTTACATGTCTCTGCAAAATCGACTTACTTATATTAAATTGCTTATCTATTTCAACTAAAGACTTATTCCCAATTTCGCTTCGAATAAACCAGATTTTTACCAACAAATTTAAAAAATATTGTTATAACTACATAGACAACCCTACAAACCTGTACCTATTTATACTTAGGTCGTTTCCATTTCACGTATTCTCATCCCAATTGACCCCTTTTTCGTTGTTATTTGTACCTAAGACGTCCCCAATATCCCCAAAAACAACAGATTTTTACATGTATTTTTATTTAATCAAATACATTAAAACCAATAACAACTGAGACTTACCTTTAATATATATGCTGGTTCAAACACTAAATAACGTTTATAAATCATAGTCGTCTTCTATTATTATCAAATAAATAAAAGAGAGCAAAGTTTCTAGCACTAAAATAATTACCACCACAGGAAGTTAATTTGAAACGCGATTTTTTATAAGTTAGCAGCTATTATCATGCATATTCAGAGTTGTTTTGTGAACTTTCAACATTCTACTATTAAACTACAAAAAATGGAAGATTTTGCAACGAATATAAAACTAATACTGAGCGTCGAAAGATTTTCCCGGTTTTTTCCCGATTCGCCTTTCAATCCCTAATCGCCCCATTTTACCGGTACGTATTTCAATCAAATTTACGGATTATTTTCACGAACAGGAAAAGAAAATACATAGGTACTTAAACTTCCAATAATTAAATCCTAACAACATATCTACACTTAGCTTAAGTGTTCTGTGTTGTGGTGAAAGCGGTAAGTTGTGTAATATTCCCCGCCGGTATAATTGCGTACATCCACGTGCAATAGATACTCTTCTTTTGACGATTTGTGATGCCATTGTTCGAAAATAAGTTTTGGATCAAGAACCAAAACCTTTTACAGCCTATTTTATTAATTAACGTAACAAATAGCCACACTGGTTTTGAACACTGGATTAAATAATTTATTTCTAACGCGCTGCAGACTAGAACAATGTTACTCGTACAATTTGTTAGGCTTATTGTTTGTTTATAGATAGAGAGGTCTTTTAGACAAGTTTATCAGCTTAGATACTTAGACATACATAGAAAATTTAGTTTAATTTAATGTCTTTAAAAATTCTTGTTGCTCCCAGATGTTTTTTAATGCCTGCTTCCACTTATTTACAGGTACGGATTATAAACAGCATTCTACAAGCAGGTACTACAGGAACTTATTCTTAAAAAAGAGGAAGATGCGGAAAACTTTATTTTAAAATAATGATCAAATCAATACCATTTTAAAAGACATCATTTTTATGTATCCTACTTTATCGAACATAATTTAAAAAATATATAATTTCGATAAGTAAGTTTAATTTTAAGTTTCGTAGAACGAAACGTAGCATAATCAAAATGGCCGACTTGGAGACGTCAACCCAACAGCTGACCGGCGCATTTTGACGTCAAAATATAGCGGCGAGTCCGAAACAAACACGTCAGTGGTTCGGTATCAAATAATTAATGTAATAATCTCAGACAATACTACTAATTCCATTTGGATTCAATTAAATCTTGCCTTGAAAATCGTGTGAAGTTTAATTCATCAAAATTTTGTGCTTTGAGCATAATCCAAGATCAATACAATCGGGGTATGGAAGCAATTGCGTTAAAAAAGTGTTTATAAATTGAGCTAATTTTGTGAATGAAACGTGTCTCAGAAATTTTAAGTTACTAGTGAGATTGAAAAACGGTAAAAATCAACATGATGAGTGAAAGAAGCAACGTCCTTAATCCTTTACTTGTGCTGATACTAGTGCCGGCGGTATTCTGTACGGTACAGCCACCGACTTTCAATCCAGAAATGTTGACGCCAATGCGAACCATCGGCGACTGTCAAGCATGTAGGGTATTCATAGAGTCATTCAAAGAAGGCTTAGAGAGAACTTCTAGAGGTAAATATGAAGGAGGCGATGCCGCTTGGGAGGAAGAAAAGCTAAAGAAATCGTACAAACGTAGTGAGATTCGTCTAGTCGACATTCAAGAGGGACTATGCAAGACTAGTAAGTTTTCGTTTCAATGTCATAGTATGGCCGAAAAGGCTGAGGAATTCATAGAAGAATGGTGGGCCCAAGACCCTGACGAATCAACTGACCTGTACGCCTATATTTGTATTGATAATTTAAAAGTTTGTTGCCCGGAACATCATTACGGAAAAGAGTGCACTCCCTGTCCTGGAGATCATTCCAAACCGTGTAATGGAAATGGAAAATGTCGAGGTGATGGCACTAGAAAAGGGAATGGCACATGCTCGTGCGACGCGGGCTATGAAGGCCAGTTTTGTGACAAGTGTGCAGTAGAATATTATCTGTCATATAAAGATGAAAATAAAATGCTGTGTTCACCATGCCACGTATCATGCTTGGGCGGTTGCAGACAAGGCACCCAGAAAGATTGTGTAGCTTGTAAAACTGGCTTCTCGTTTGACACTGATGAAGGCTGTTTGGACATAAACGAGTGTGATGATGTGGATCGGTGTACAAGAGATCAGTTCTGTTTGAATTCTATCGGCTCATTCAAATGTGCTGACTGTGATAGGGCATGCAGTGGTTGCTACGGTGATGGTCCAGATAGCTGTAGGAAATGTGCCAAAGGATATTCCAAAAAAGGAGAGTTTTGTATTGAAGACAGAGAAGATGAAGATCAATCTGAGAAATTGACAACAACAAGGTAAGACCCCCTGAATATTTTTGTTAAGCTAATTTATAGCTTGTTTTTTTTTTTGTGGAGATGTAGTATTAATTTCTTTATTTTATTTTTTATTTACAGAAATGAAGAATTGTAGATTTTTAAAAGTTCCTAGGACTGATTTTGTGGTAACTAATTATACCCTTTTTTCAATTTTGGTGATGGTTTCTTATTTTATTATCTTTAGTTAGAAAATTATATTATTAATGAATGATTTACAAAAAAATTAAATGTCAAATTTATAATAAATTCAAAGTGACTAAACAAATGTGGAGTATAATAAATAAACTATGTAAGATATTTTTGCTTAAAGCGGTAATTCATGATATGTGTACTTTTGGTGTCTGTGCAAATAGGAACAACACAGTTACTTTAACGTTCGATTTTATTAAACAGGTATCTGACCTACATAGGTCTTATCATAGCAACGGGTATCTTGCTGCCGAAGTCCACACCACTGGGCAGTATCGTTGGCGCCATGGTCTTAATTTACATTGTTGGTGCGGAGTACTACTGCATGATAAACGGTCATACAGGCCTAGTGAACCTTAAAGATTTTAATCTCATCCAGATATTCCATACGTGAGGAATTAAATAAAAAAAGTGTATCTACACTAGGCGTAAAGGGTTCTGCTTACCTTGGTAACAAGTTTTTTGTTGAGTGTTGTTTCCAAAACTGAATTTATTATTAAACTATGTGATATTTTCAATGTTATTTATTTTGGATATTTAATTGCAATATTATTCTTTAGTAATTAAATATTTTTTAAGTATTCTGTGAGATAAATTAATTTGTAAGTATCATAATAATAAGAATCTAGTATAAAAGATAGATATAGTTAAATATTAGTTTTTATGTGGTCATTCGGTATTGTTTTTTGTTTAAACAGTTTTTAGAGTTTATCTGTAATTGTTACGCATTTTAATGTATTATTGTGAGAAACTTTTTAATATCTGTCGGTCTAATATGAGAGTTTTTCAATAAAATGTTGGGAAATTTTGAGCAAGCTCGACTTCAGCCACTGCCTATTTTAACCATGACTGTAGGCTTGCAATTATTTCGTTTCGTAATCTTATGTTTCAACTAAATGAATTCAAATACTCTAGTACTTTAATCCTGAAATTTGAAATTGAAAAAATCCTGTAAACAAAATACTAAAAACTGATCAATTATTATGACACTGTTAGGACGTGCATAATTAGACACAGGTTAGGTGGTAAAAACTACATATTTATTTTGTTATTTAAATGAACACAAATACATTGATAGCGTAACTAGGGGGGGGACTCGCGCTTATTAGTTCGCACAGACAATCATAGATGTGTTGCTCACAGTACTTTGCCTTAATAACAGATACCATAAAAACATTTGAAATAATTGGTTGAAGTTGTCGCAAACTTGTAGTCAGGATGTAGGGAGTTGGCACTTTAGAATTGCCTTCATAATCTTCTAATTAGTTACCCTAACTAATATACGCCACTGGGTATATTATAATATATTATAAACTCAGTATCTTGATGAAAGATATTTGATCAGGTCTCTGAGTGTACTTTTTCCTGTTTCCGGTACATAAGATTGGTAACGAATTTTATCTTGGGGTGTCTGAATGTGTACAGGTTTTATTTTTATTTCAAAATTTATCTTACAATAATATTATTAATGACAAGTTCTAATGATAATGACAACTCATAATAATGGTTTGTTATTAATGCCTAAATTAGGGGAGGAAAGTGGGATGATGATTTTAAATTGGAATCTTAATTATACACTCCTATTTGGTAGGTTTGGTATATGATTAATTAAAATGGTAAAATATTTGGTATATCTACAAGCACGTTCACTTTTAATCTGCCCATATTGTTCATTGTAAGGTGCTTGAGCCATTTACATATAGTCACGCTTGTCAAACGTTATGCGGCGACCGTGACACAGTTTGAGTGCGGTGTCCCATTCGATCTATGGGCTCTTAGGCTGCGGTCTATAATATGAGTTGAGGCGTTTTTAAATGACATGTATTTAAGTTCAGATGTATATATGCTAAACAATTTCTAGAAATGCTTTAAACTCGTAAGCCTTATTGAGATTTTGGATACTGAATATTCAGAGAACGGTGGCAATGAAACAGGATAATTTGTTTAGTTTAAATTGTCAGATTGATATCGACGCTTGAAAGGCAAACGTGACTAAGCGACAGTAACTACTTTATACATAAATGATAGGTAATAACCATATTCGCTGCGCAAAAAAAATATATTTCTAGGTCTATTAAAATAATTTCAATTTACAGCTAGATTCGTTAAAATTGAATTTTTTTCAGGTATTTCAAGTTTAAATTAATCTACTGTAAAGTTCACGCATTGCCGCTTAGTCACGCTTGCCTTTCAAGCGTCGATATGTTTCGAATGTGCATGGGAATTGTCACTCAATATACAATATACGCTACAGACGCATCGCCGATCACACGAAATAAAATTTGCTTGATTTGCTAAAATTACTAACTTAAACAAAATAACTATATTATTTAATGCTCAATTGTGACGTCAGCGTTGACCCTGTATCGGGTCGAAGGTATTTTTTTAAGTCCTGTAATTGGTAATTTGAGATAAAAGTTAATCAGAGGGCTAAGCTAGTAAATAAGGTGACTTTATTTTATTACCATTACGCATTGGTACAAATTATGTATATATATATTATCTGTTTAGAGAAGCGTTGTGCGAGAAGCTGTTTTCAATTTCAATATTAAATACTTAATTGTTGTTGATACACCCATTTATAAGTCGACTCGTCAGCATTTTTAATAACAATCTCCGGTTAGACAAGTCGATTGGTTTTTCTCGCTAATTCTCGTGAATTATTCCGACACCAAAGTCGATCGCTGCCCACGCGTTATGTAATGTTAAGTTTCGAGTGTTATGTGTGTTTGTTTGGAAAGTGGAACTGACGCGATGACAGTCACATTGTTAATGTCCATCCATAAGGCTTCTAGAACAAATATTGAGTACTATATAATATATAGTTACGTGAAAAAAAGTGGTAGCAGGGTTTTATTTAATTATTATTTTCATTTTTAAAATGATTTGTGAGTTTGTGCGACAAAAGTTAAAAAAGTTTGATTTTAAATTACCTATGATATTTTAGAGGTGTCTGTAATTTCTAATTTAAGAGAAATAAAAACATTTGGCTTTTAATTAAATGTCTTTTAAATCAATAAGGTATTTCATTTATTTTGTATTTAATAAAATTAATGATCATAAGGGTAAGTAAGTGACTTGAACCAGTTCAGAAAATAGTTAATCGTTCTATACAAAAAAATTCTTAAACATCCGTAAATTTCCCTTCGAGATCGAATCAAAAATGAGTAGACTCGCAGGAAAACCATGGTAACCGACCCAACCCTAAAGGATTGCGATGCTGAAGTGGCAGTTGACAGGATATTGCTCGTAAAACAGATTGTCGCTGCGGCCGAAAAGTTCTCGACTGGCCACCGCGCACCGGATGACGGAGCGTGGGTAGGTCTCCCATAAAGTGGTCTGTCGATCTATTGAGTTTCGCGCGGATCCGCTGGACATCTAAACACCGTTTTGGCGAGGCTTTGGAGGGGCCTATGTCCAGCAATGTCTGTGGGCCGAAAGATAGATAGTTAAATAGGAACATCCATGCTTATTAATATTACTATTTTGTCCTTTAACGTGAACATATAGCAACGGGCTGACGTGATTTTTTAAAAGTGATAATTCAAGTTCTTTTATCCTGGAAAAATATCTTATTCCCGCGACAAAATATAAGGGCACTTTTCCTCGACCACGTGGGCGAAGCCGTGGCTAACAGCTTTTTGTATTATAAGTGTTCGCGGCCTAATAGTACCTGCTTGGCTCGAGTGATGCGACTGTGCCAAGGTACAAATACTTCAGCGGGTGCCGTATTTTAAAAGGATCTACATATATGATTGATGATTCTGAGCTGACGGAATAAAATTGTGCAAAAAAAATCAAAGACAAACATCGGGATTACGTCATTACTGGTGATCCTGCTGATTGCGTCGTGAGGTCTAGCGTGAGGTCTTATGCCTCAAAGTGGGCGATGGTAACCACTTTGCGATGCCTTAGGATTCTGGAAACCGTTTAACAACCTGCATGACCAACCAAGATACAAAAACCTGACAAATTGTTATGAAACTATTAAAGTTATAAAAACGCGAGGAAGTGTTATCTTGATTTTGGTATTTGTTTTTTTAACGAATTCGATATACAATATCGATTAAACAAACGAAGGCACGCGATCGAGCAAAAAAAAAAAAACACAAAATCTCTATTACAAGTCACGATTCGACTTTAATAAATCGTGTCGTGAGTTCTAATTGCGCCGTAACTGTATTTCTCCTTGTGACAACGGTACTCAGAGAATACGATTGCGTTAGTTAACTTCCTATGGGAATTATTGCCTTCGGGACAATTACTGCGGGCTGTGGATTGTGAATTCACTGATTTCTTAAATAGAAATAACGGTTCGTTAGATATTTTACGATGAGCTTTTTGCTAGTAAGCTGCTGTTGTTTCATAAATTAAACATGATAAGATGTTTTTATTTATATTGGAGTAGGCACACGAATCCTTGGAGCACGATCGTGGAATCGCTCCGGTTTCACCGCGTCCCCCCTAGTCTCCGGAACCTGATAGAGGATTACCTCTCAGGGCGAAATGTAGTCTTCCCCGAGAGGAGGGGGTGGGGACGGAAAGCGGTGTCGTGCGGGGTCCCGCAGGGGTCGGTACTGGGACCACTCCTGTGGGACATCGGTTTCGACTGGGTCCTGCGCGGTGCTAGCCTGCGTGGCGTTGACGTAGTGTGCTATGCCGACGACACGCTGGTGACGGCCCGCGGAGCCGACTACAGAGCCGCAGCGATCCTTGCGACGGCGGCGGTCTCCACCGTCGTTAGTCGCATTCGGAGATTAGGTCTTGAGGTGGCCCTCCGCAAGTCCGAAGCGGTGTGCTTTCACCCAGTCCGGAGGGGACCTCCTCCGGGAGCGAATCTCATAGTCGGCGGAGTATCGATCGCTGTCCAGCCGAAGCTCAAATATTTGGGCCTTGTGCTGGACAGTCGATGGCGCTTCGACCACCACTTTGGTGAGTTAGTCCCGAAGCTGCTGGGGATGGCGGGCGCACTAGCCCGTCTTCTCCCCAACGTCGGTGGTTGCAGCGCCGGCGTCCGGCGTCTGTACCTGGGGGTCGTGCGCAGTATGGCTTTGTACGGCGCTCCCGTGTGGTCGCCCGCACTCTCTGCGCGCAATGCAGCTTTGCTGCTACGAGCGCAGCGGGTGCTCGCGGTGAGAGTCATCAGGGGGTACCGTACGATCTCCCGGGAGGTCGCCTGCGCCCTCGCCGGTTCCCTTCCTTGGGATCTCGAGGCTGAGGTAGCAGCTGCGGTATACCGGCGCAGAACACAGTCCCTGAGTCGGGGACGGACGCCCGGCCCGTCGGCTGTCGGTCGGTGGAGGCGTGCTGCGCGTCATCTGGCGTACGCCAAGTGGAGGGAGCGGTTGCTGGAGGAGCTTGGCCAAACTTCAGTCACTCGCCGACGCACCCTCGAGGCCCTGGTGCCCGTGCTGGAGGCATGGTCAGATAGACGACACGGCGTGCTCTCCTTCC